AAATTAAAACATTACAATTTGATTGGTCAAAAAATCTTGGATTTGATTGGTCAAAAAATCAAATTAAAACATTACAATTTGATTGGTCAAAAAATTTTTGGAGTATATAGTTATAGTATTTCTATTAATGTAAGGATAAGAGTAGTTAAAGTGAAGATTGATGAAATGTTCTATCATGTATGTCTCAAAAAATTTCAAATAATACAAAAGTTACATATTCCCTCCATTCGACCTTAGTTGACTTAATATTTGGGCTTTTAAAATTAGTTGTCCATTCCTTCCCTTTTTTTTTTTCCTTTTTAGAATGTCATTTAATGCATTTATTCTATTTTACCCTTCATTTAAGAAGAAAATTATAAAAAAATGCTTATTTAAATAATAGTTACTTAAAGATAAATATGAAATGTGATCAATTGATTATTACATTCCTATTTTATTTGAGAAAACAATTAGGCCAACTAAATTTGGAGGGAGTATTTGTTTATAATGTATTTTTTAAAATATCTTTTACATTCATTAATTAAAAATTTTATTTATGAGTAATATTATTAACTTGAAAGAAAAGTAGAACCTATGATGTCCTACCAAACTACATGGCAGACTTTAAAATGAAACTATTTATGTTAAGAATCTCTGCCACCAACTGCAACACATTTAACAAAGTATTGAGATTTGAGAAGATAACCATACCTGTTGTTTCCTTAACTGCTAAGAACGCAACTTTTTGGAAGCCAATTTTATCATCACCCACTTGATCTGTCAAAGGTCTCTTAGTAACTCTTTTTCTTTTGTTTGTATGCGTTGCCTCCAAGTTACCTTCTGGAGAGTGACTAGACAAATTCACATCTTTTTCAATTATTGACCATACACCCTTAGTAATGCTACCAAACTTCATGAAGCAATTCTCCTTCCTTGAATCAACTAAAAGAACAGAAACTTTTGAAATTGGCCATTCTTTCATCATTGGAACATCTGTCAATGCATCTAGACACATAGATATGTCACACGCTTCCATGATTTCTTTCTCCACTGGTGAAAGCTGCTTATTCAGGGTACTTAATTCAGTATCGTTGTAACTTTTCATGAGATTCATATGTGCCATCAAATTTGGCTTCAAAACTACAGCCAATTTGCAAAACTGCTCAAAACCTAAATGCTCAAGCTGTAGATGCCTTTTTCGGTGGTAGTAATTGTATAGCAACACAACAGCACGCATCTAGAGAAGAATTGCAAAAGTGAAGATGACATTAGGAGAATGAACAACAATTAGTGTACAAATATACAAATATATATTTAAGCATCTAAATTTATATAGCGTATCAGTACTTGTGATTCTAAAGCACACTGAACCTTTTACAAGCCAATTAAATAAGATTGTTGACTTTTGTTTATAGCACAACTTAACTCAAACAAACCACTTCTGGACAATTCTTGAACATTTTCAGAGTTCCTCTGAACCCAAGATAACAAGCTACAATCTCAAATTAGTTTAGATTTAATCACAAGAATGCTTTTTCCTGTGCATCCAAAAAAAAAAAAAAACTTTTTCCTACTTTCACCAAAGAAGCAAGCTTCAAAGCAAGCAAGTGCATATAGATATATGAAACATAGTGACTCAAGACATCAATGTAGAATGGAGAATCTCATGATATTCTAATTGGTCTCCCACCAAACTTCTAGATATTTTACCATTAGACCTCAAACTTTAACCTATAATGGTATTCTCTATAAATAAATCCAGTTCAAAATACAAATCTAAAGAGTTTAATCAAATTATATGCAAAATTTCAACTTTCCTAAAATACATAACATGTGAATGATTTGAGAAACATTTGAGAAAAATAAATTAGAGTCTGCATAGTCAAACAGCACCAATACTTATAGCATAACATCACATATTGTAGAGCAAACAGCAAATAATACAACAAAAAATGAACACCCAGTTAGGATTGTGTAGCCCTTGTGGCCCAATGGTTCATGTCCCAAGCTTAAAGCCTGGTGATTCTCATGTCCTGAGTTTAACTCAGGCCAGCAACCCCTTTCTGGATAAGGAGGATTGATGCTAATATTTGACTATTTGTACCACATTACTGCCTCCCCAAAAATTTCCTATGTTCTTGCACAAAGAAAAAAGAATCTGAACCAAAACCATCTTATCATATCGTTTTGGTTCATTTAATGGAAAGATTAATCTTCCTAAACCAAAACAAACAACAAACAAAATGCTATAAATATTATTTTGACATATTGACTAATTCATGCATACATGCATGTGGGCATGGACATAAACGTACATTCACATACAAACAAAAGTGTAGAATTAAGAACATATTTGCATGAATCTTTAAATATCCATGCAGTTATTAAATTAAAAAATAATAACAATAATCTATAAATTTACAAAAGGGTAAACCTTTAAAATGTCTCTTAACATTTAAGAGCAGTTTAATTTGTTGAGTTTCCTATTAAATTTTGATGATGAATTAAAACCAAGAACTACTGAAATTTGATGTGTTTTATTTTCAGTTCGAAAGAAGTGAATTGCAGGTGATGGGTTCTGCTCCTTTCCCAGCTTTGCCGAAGGCACTGAGCAACCTGAGGTTCCAAACCTCCACCCAGCATTCAAACCACCCCAAGGAAATTGTCTGCCACTTTTAAAATAAAACATAATAAAAAACTAAAAACTTCAGGAAAATTCAGAAAATTAAAAAAAAATTTTAAAAATAGAAACAGCAATTTGAATCAAAGCTACAAAAGCTCCACAACTCTTAGCAGGTGCCCTAGGTGCTAGGCAGTGGAACAGTGCCATCTGCAACACTGCTTTTTCTATTATTGTGAGTCTAAGTTTCTAAATTTTAGATTGGGCAAGGAATTTGAGTCAAGGTCCAAGTTGGAGCTTGGAGGGACATTCTACTCTGCAACAAGTTAGGAGTTGTCTCATGTTCTAAGATTTTTTAGTGTCTTTGAAATAATGGATAATCAAAAATGAAAAAATAAAGCAATAGTCCAGTTTGATGGTTTCTAAAGAGGATGATACAACTGGAAAATTGAATATTTAATACATTCTGAACAATAGTAATGTCAACATATTGAGACCATAAATTATTTAAGAAGAAGAGCACATAAGACAAGGGAAAAATTCAATGATGCATTTCACTTCAAAAAGTTAACATGTATAGTGATAACAAGGATAGCTCTTTAGTCAACACAGAGCAAGAAAAGAACCTGTTTTGCAACTAACAGCTGTTGAGATTCTGATGGAGTCCTTTGCTTTGTAGATTCAGCTGGTGGTAGCAGAGGTTCAACCAAGTAATCAAGCAGTGCATGAACAGCATCCTCAGTTGAACAAACCTGTGATTTACCCATGTCTT